TATCCACATAAATATGCGATTGATGTGTCACTGCTGTATTAACATTGCTTTCAAATCCCACCACCGCTGCTTTCACAACACGGCTGTATAATGCTATGCTTCTGGTTCCACACATTCAATTATTGCCTCTGTATTGACACTGCAATATAATCATTGTACCATGGCTCTGTTCATACAAGTGTATGTTTACTGCACCTCTCTGTCAGCACCACTAGATAACACAGTGTTGGGTAATCTGTTGGCTTCCAGCTACTGAGGAACCACAGGTCCCACTATGCCAAACCAGGTGCTTCCTGATTAACAACTGCTCTGCTGTCATATATACACATCTGCTGTGTACAGCAGTGTAACCATCATATTGTAACAGCAATAAGTCAACATAGCTCAATTTATTTGCACTGAGAATTAATTTTCACGGTACTGCACCGTACACTTTAGTACCGTTAAAAACATTTTTATTATGTAATCAAGTGTTTACCAAACAAGCATGTGCAAATCTTGTGTCTAAAAACATAGAAATAATGATGCACAAATACTAAATATCTTGAGCATCCATATGCCTACACTCACTCCATTATTAAATGATGAACGAGATGCATATGCTTGCTGTTTTCCTAAATTATTTATACGTTTACAAATAATGGAGATAAATGTAATAAGCAAGGATCCAAGGAAACAATATGACATTGGTTAGACAATGCAGATTGTAATCAGTCCGTGCCATTGTCACATTATTCATCTCTTTGCATTTCAATTGTTTTTTTGGGTATGGTGTGTATTTCCACTTTTACGGTCAACTCTAAATATTTGTTATGTGTTCCCATTCACACAGCATAACAAAAAATAGTTTTCTAGAAAATATTTCATGCCTTTCTGTTTCTTTGGAGCAGGCCTTTGGGTGGACTGTAAACTAATCCTAACATGTTCAAAGTGAAAATGCAGGGGGACAAAGTGGGGACAGACAGAGTTTCCCTCATTAAAGGTGCCCATACACCTTACGATTATCGGACTAAACTTTTCGTCCGATGATCGAACCGTCGTACGATTTTCGTACGACGGCCCCATCCTGCCCCGATTATCGCAAGGTTCAATCAGCGGTAGTTAGAAAAAAACACCTGGACGACTTGCGGTAATTGACCGCAATTATTTTCGTTTGCGCATGCGCAGTGTTAATCGTACGACATTTGACGGACGGAAACGCCACCAACCATGCGAACATCGTACGATCAACCAAAGTTTTCAAACATGCTTGACCGTCAAAAGTCGTACGATTGTACAGTACTATCGGTCGGGCACTCTATTCACACGTTACGATTGTCGTACGAAAAGTCGATCGCATACGATTATCGTACGATAATCGTAAGGTGTATGGGCACCTTAACATACACAGCAGAACACAAGCCTGTAGGTCTTTAACCCTTTGTTACGAGAGGCAAATCTAGTTTACAACTGATAATGAGATCTGTCAGCACAGTACAGACTGGGTTCATTACAGTAAATATAACTTCTTACATCCTCTTCTTAACATTTCATAGAGGGGAGTCTAGGTAGGTTTTTTTCATACTATATTAAATAGATAAATGAACATTACATATTTATATGTATAATCACCACGCCGTTGATTTATCTAGATAGTACTGTATAATGTGAAAATAGGAGATCCTGGCTCTGGCATACTGCCAGTACCAGGAGCTTGAAATCCAGGTTTCACCTGGAGCACCATCTTCTGGTAAATTCTGGTACTGCAATTCCTTCACTCAGATGTACTGCAGTGATGCTGTATCAGGGTTACTCAACAAGCATATAATGTGCAAAGTGAAGTAGACCATAAATATCTGATCAGTTAATCACTGCATGTGGGTGGGTGTGAATGGACGTTAGCACGTTGAATTAGTGAGTTTTACGTAATTCATTTGGGTGGAGTGCAGCTTCTCAAGTGCTTCCACTTGTACTCTCAAGTGCTTCAATTTTTTAAGTAATCTAAAATGACAGCAGTTTCTTTTACATAATGTAAATTCATAGAGCCTAAGCTGTAAATGAAAGGGCCACTATACACAAATTATACTTTTTTTTATGAACTGGATGAAGTAATGAGGTGTTAATAGCATTAATTGATACTCATGTAAGAAGATCAACACAATAGAAGATAACTAAAATCAAGGTAGCACAATGGGGAAGAACAGTTTCCTGCATACAGCTGACGTCCTGTGAAATAGAAGATCACCAACTCTCATTTTGTTCACTCTTTTTGCCTCTGGTGAACGTTATTAGTTGCTCTGTTAATTCAAAGAACATTGACCTTTACTTATTACTAAATTCATTTTTCCATGATAGTTGTCCTTTAAAGAGAACTAGTATAAACATGCTTAAAGCCTGACTCTGGGCTCCAGGCTATGTTTGGAAAAAATGGCCTCCAGCAGCAGTGAAAAAATAGCTGCTTGCCTGAGTAATTCTTTTTCACCACTAAATAAAGCATAAAATACACACAGTGAGGAAAAGGGGAAGACTGAAGGAGGGGAATGGGGGTCTGGAGTTGGGCTAGTCTAACAAAAGTGCTGTAGTGCCCTTGTAGATTTCCACTAATTCTATACCCAGTGTGAACCCAGCATAACGTTAGGAGGGAGCTAACCGTAACATGAAGAGAAGTCAAGGCTTTGCGTACAACCCGGGCCTAGGATCCTAGGGGCTCCATAGGGATTGATTTGAAGATTAAAACAGTACCTACAGGCATCACAAGATGCGTGTCCTTTAGCACCATTATCTTATGCACTTTGTAGGCCATGGCAGGTTCATTTTAATGCCTATCCTATGTTATTTGTTTGTTTTGTGGTATGGTGGGATTTAAAGTGTATTTTCACATTTGCAGTCAAATTTGACAAAACCCCTCTATATGTTTGTTATGTGTTCCCACTGTCCAGATCTTTAACCCTTTGTTAGGACAGACAAATCTAGTTTACAGCTGATATTGAGATCTGCCAGTACACTGGCACATCTCACTACACACTGGGTCAGTACACTGACCCAGTGCCAGTACTGGGTTAATTACAGTAAACATGAACTCCCAGCCCCCTCCTTAATATTACATAGTAAGTGGGGCGGGAAGAATTCCAATTTTTGAGTTTTCAAAAAAGAGCCACGTAAAGTGTAAGCAGCAATTTTTAAATATGTTTTCAAGTTCTGCTACATGAATGGGAATATGTAACAAATATAAAGTAGCTATTATCCCAATATGGCTGCAAAAGTGAAAATACCCTTTAAATTCTTAGTATAGAAGTACTGTTCTGGCTATTCGGGTACAAGATCTGTGCAGTCATTAAAATACCTATAATGTCAAAATGGAAGAACACAAACCTTTCAACACAATTATGAGAACGGAGGTGTTACATTCACAGACATGTTCTATTTAAATGATGATTAATGTATGGCAGCTGATGAGAGCTAGCAGCATTTTTTGACACTGCATTTTTCTTGTGTGTTTACCAAAGTTTTTGCTCTTTCATGGAAACAGGACGTCTTTAATCATTAACAATGCTGCCCCTGAGAACACTCACCCCATTAACAATACTACTCCTGTATGATCGCCGTTCCTGTACATGGCAGCAGTATCAAGCATTCACATCTCTTTACGTGCCAAGATAATTCTGCCTCCATCCTATAATTAATGAGGCTTGAGTATATTATAGGGGGAGAGGGGACCAACTCAGGTTCCCATAGAATAGCAGCTCGTTGGACAGTTCTTTAACCCCTTTCTTGCCTGGAGGAATTATTGATCCAAAATTAGGAAGGTGTTTTATAAAAGAGCTGATGTCCCTAGAGAGTAACCAAACTGATTAGACAATAGGATATGGCAGGTGGTTCTCATGTATTGCCCACAGCAGAGGTGGGCAACTCCGGCCCTCAAGCTGTTGTGGAACTACAAGTCCCATGAGGTTTACAAGACTGACAGTTGCAGGCATGACTCCCAGAGGCAGAGGCATATTGAGATTTGTAGTTTAATCACAGCTAGAGGGCCGACATTGCCCACCCCTGGCTTACAGGATGGTTCATGGTCTCTTTATTAGTCCTATTCTCTTGTACATAACCTGTGAATGCCTACAGATGCAAAGTCACTACCAACACGTTTAGACCTGTGAAATTACAGTTATGTGACCATGGACTGTATATTCAGCTACATTTCTTCCAATGACATCACAAATTGGCCAAAAGAATACCATTTTTTTTAAAGTCAGGAAAGACCCAATGGCAAGCTTCACTGGCAGAGAGGAAACTCTGCAGAGGTCCAGTATTACTTTAGAGTGGAAAGTTCCTTCAAACAACTGAACATGTGTTTGATATATATATTATATGCTCCAGACTTGAAGCATCATCAGTTAAAGCTGAACTCCAAAATAAGCAAATATTGTCTCTTATGCTTTTTTTTTTTGCCAGATCTGTGCAGTAATCCAGTGTATAACTTTTCCTCTGTACATGAGCTTTGTGTAATAAAGATCGGCCACTGCTACTCTCTCTCTCCTTGTGCAGGGTGGTCTTGTCTCCGCCCCCTGCTATAGTTTTCAGAAGACAGCCTGTGGTAAAGGGGTGGGCAAGTCTGGTCCTCCAACTGTGGTAGAATTACAAGTTCCATGAGGCATTGCAAGACTGACAGTTGCTAGCATGACACCCAGAGGCAGATGCATGCATGGAGTACCAGAGTTGCCCACCCCTGCTGTAGAAGGTGAAGCTGCTGGGTCCCTCTGACAGCTCTGCTCTCTTCACAAACTATGTGCAGCACAGTGATAATGTTGCTGCTATACCTTTAGGTAAAAACTGAGTTTGTTGTACACAAAGTGGATATATATCCTTTGTGTCTATTGAGGAATATATATTTAAATGAAAGTGTTTGTGGCTAGAGTTCCACTTTAAACATTCTTAAATTACACCATGGTCATTTTATTGAAGTTTTGGCTACCTTAGGTGAAATCAAAGTGACATCACTATTGTTATTTTGCCTTTGAATACAGGTAGATGATCAAATGAAGCTTTTACAGAATTGTTGGAGTGAGCTACTAATTCTGGACCACATATTCCGACAAGTTCTACATGGGAAGGAAGGCTCCATACTTCTTGTTACGGGACAGCAGGTATGTGATAATAATGGACTCCAACATGGAAGCAGTAGAATGCTGTAGATATTATGGTGTTACAAGAAGTTCAGTTTAGATCTAAAAGGAAAACGTTATATAAATTATTTTCATTATAGTAATGTTTATTTGAAGTGTAGTGAAATGAAGATAGACAGAATTCTGACTGAAGACAGACAGTATTCTGACCGGAGACAGACAGTATTCTGACCGGAGACAGACAGTATTCTGACCGGAGACAGACAGTATTCTGACTGACGACAGACAGTATTCTGACGACAGATAGTATTCTGACCGAAGACAGACAGTATTCTGACTGAAGACAGACAGTATTCTGACTGAAGACAGACAGTATTTTGACTGTAGATAAATAGTATCCTGACTGAAGATAGACAGTATTCTGACTGAAGATAGACAGTATTCTGACTGAAGACAGACAATTTTCTGACTGAAGACAGACATTATTCTGACTGAAGATAAACAGTATTTTGACTGTAGATAAATAGTATTCTGACTGAAGATTGACAGTATTCTGACTGAAGATTGACAGTATTCTGACTGAAGATAGACAGTATTCTGACTGAAGATAGACAGTATTCTGACTGAAGATAGACAGAATTCTGAGGCATTCATACCGGCTGCAGACTGGATTTTTGACTTTACACTGTAGAAAAGTGATAGATCTGCCTTTGTGGACTACAGCAGAATAATGAAATACATGTCTTTGATGGAGCTCTGTAAATTGCTGTGGACATTTTTAAATTATTCAAGTTGCTGATTTTATTTTTGTTTAATGGTTGATTTGTAAGCAAGGAAATGAGCCCACCTGAGAACGCAGAGCGCCCCACCATAGATCCTGCAGAGCCCACCATAGATCCTGCACAGCCCACCTGAGACCCTGCAAACCCCACCACAGACCCCGTATAGCCCACCTCAGATCTTGCAGAGCCCACTACAGCCCACCATAGACCCCACATAGCCTACCTAAGCACTTGCAGAGTCCACCACAGATCCCACACAACCCACCATACACCGTGCACAGCCCACCTGAGACCTTGCAGAGCCCGCCAGAGACCCCACACAGCCCACCAAAGGCCCCACATAGCCCACCTGAGACCCTGTAGAGCCCACCATAGACCCCGCGTAGCCCACCTGAGACCTTGCAGAGCCCACCACAGATCCCGCATAGCCCACTATAGACCTTGCATAGCCCACCTGAGACCCCACAGAGCCCACCATAGAACCTGCACAGCCCACCTGATGCCCTGCAGAATCCACCACAGACCTGCACAACCCACCTGAGACTCTCAGGTGGGCTGTGCATGATCTAAGGTGGGCTGTGCAGGGTCCTTTTCCCTGCACAAATGTGCTGCTCCTCTTACTTAAAGGCCTCCAGCCTTCTTCCAGGTCATCCCACTGTCAGATTGTGGGGTATGGGCAGCCCCGAGCCACCTGCAGCTTCTTCCTACAGCACCTCCGCCGGCCAGGCCGTATCTCACTCGGACCTGTCTCCAGCCCCACCTCCTCTTTCATCTGGCAGCTCTCTTTGATTGATTAGGTAGGTGAGGCTGCCCGATTCTGTGCGACCGGGCCCGCCGCATTGATTTGAGGGTGGCAGTTTTATTTGCCTTGCGGTGGATACACCCTGATCCTCGTTGGTGCTGGATAACTGGGAGTTTACTGTAGATATCATACATAATATTTTTATGATAGTTGTTCTGTATTAGCTGACAAGATAAGATATTAGCGACATAGGCAGTGTGTTGTTTACAAAGGGTGGGCAGACCTATAGACTTACGTTACCATAAGGATCAGTACAGCACAACCATTCCACTGCAATGCAGTCGGTTTGTGCCATGAGTCAGGGTCAATTCACTCTTTTGCGTTGCGGCAATGCGTGCTGCATTAATGTGTTCCTGCATTGCAGTTGCTCTTAGTATGGTATATTGTGGTGCCATTGTAAATGACACCCCAATGCATTGTACAGCAGACTCCAATACACAACGCATCACAATGCAAAATAATGCATATACTGTGTTGCTAAAAAAAGAGTCATGCATGCTCGTGGTGCATTGGCAGCCCATTAATAATGAATGGGCTGAGGCAATGCACAATAACATGTGCCATAATGCCCATCAATTCACATGCGTAAAGTGTGAATCACCCCTCAATATGGCTGACCTCATGTTTATATCTAATTACTATTTATACACAGAAGCAAAGTTTTTCAAAAATTAAGGCATTTTGATAAAATGACTTGCATCAAGCTGATTAAAAATCCTAGACGTTCTCTTTGAATGCTTTTGAATATACACATATAGGTGCACTGTGCACATTGCATGGTCATCATAACTCTGCAGCACAAATGCTAACATTGTGTACATAAAAAAGGCAGACAACAATACATTCTTATGATCAGAGGTGCTTTTAAAAAAGGCTTAAAGTAGGATGTATGCACGAGAGTCAGTGCTAGCATGTCCATAGACATCAGAGTTTAGTTACAATACATGATAATCACTAACTTGTTGTGGCTATTCTGGGACGCGCTCATGCGGCACCACAACAGGTGCACATTGTCACAGCTGTCACTGACACACTGAACCTGTCACCTGTTTTCATGCTTACATTTCACAGGCAGAACTTGGGGTGACCTTATGACTTTGACATGTTTATAGGGTTAAAGGGTCAGTCCGAAGGTAAAGTAATTTCATGGGACTGACATGTATAATGAGGTAAAAGGTCAATCAAACATGGATACAGTGACATGCTTAATGGGTTAAGGGTCAATCTAATATGGAAGCAGACTAGCCTGATGATTCATTTGTTTGGGTCAAGTCAAAATAACCGCATGTTCCAGGTTAAAAGGGGCTGGTGGATATGATGACCAAGCTAAATAGACATGTTCTTTGCAGTGGCACAGCCTCGTATTGTAGAAAGAGACAGAATGAAAGAGTTGATATGATGGTATATAAAAGTAAAATTTGTTTTGCTAAATGATTGGCCAAACATTAAATTAGCGACATAAGTAAAAGGGTTAGAATTACTAAGATTCCAAGAATAAGACAAATAATTACATTTTCACTACAAATTATTATTGATTTGTGTAGCTAGTGACGGTTGAGTTCAAGCACTATGCCCAGGAGTTGAATCAGTTAGTGCCAGGGCTTCTAATCCTATCATAGTGCTCTACCAGAAGATTCTGTAGTCAGATTTAACCATTACGGTTTTCTGATGCCATTTGGATTCCTCGTGTGCCTCATGGCCTGCCTCAAAAGATACATGCAATAGTAATCTATAGCTTGGTGAAAACAGAGAGCAATTAAAGTTGAATTGTTGCTGGAGGTGCAATCGTATTAGATGCCCCTTGAAATGACCGAACTGCCCCATGAACAAACTTTAAAAAAAAAAAAAGTAAAAAAAAAAAAAAAGCTCCTCCCAGTGGTCGAGCAATTAAAGTTGAATTGTTGCTGGAGGTGCAATCGTATTAGATGCCCCTTGAAATGACCGAACTGCCCCATGAACAAACTTTAAAAAAGAAAAAGAAAAAGTAAAAAAAAAAAAAAAGCTCCTCTCAGTGGCCTAACTATAACTGCTATAGGGCCTGGGAGTGGAAGGGGGCCCCATTAGGTTGTTGAAACAAATTAAACATAGAGCATGTGAAGAGAATACAGTACTGTATCATTAAAAGAGAATTATGGGGTAAGTGTTTGTCCCCATAGTGCTCTTAAGGGTCACGGGCGGACATAAACTCACGTCCTCCCATGACCCAAAGCTCAGTATATCGCGAGCTATAGCTCGCGGTAAACTGAGACCACCACAGCCGGGACAGATCCCGACATTACTGTCGAGATCCACCCAGCTGCGTGAATGACAGCTGGCTCTGCCTATCTAGAGGCAGAGCCAGCTGTAACCGCCCCCTCCCCCGTCGGTTCCTCCAGTCAGCACTGGAGGATCGGAGCAGGGAGGGGGGATTCGGAATCCCTGCGGGGAGCCGTGAGTGACAGTCACGGCTCTCTGCAGGGACATGATTGAGAAGTGAGCGAGCGACGGTATGCGTTCACTCACTTCCCGATCTATTGAGCCGACGTGTGACAGTTTCATTGTCACACGTCGGCTCAAACTATTTTCACTCACCTCATAGTTCTCCTTTAAGGGTAGGAGTGGTTGCAGTTGATGACAACTTCTGTAAAATCTACAGTGTAGAGACGACTTCAGATGATCAAGGGGAGTCTTTGCAATCTTGGCATTGTTTCTTACAGCTCAGAGAGAGGTCGTCAGGGGTGCCCCCCATCACATTTTTGCTAGGGGGCCCCATGATCTTTAGTTATGGCCCTGATTTCTCTCCTAATTTACCCCAATGTGTTAATGAATACATCAGATTCACTGGATTGCATCTGCACTTACTGCATGAGCACCAAACACTCAAGCAAGTGTGTGCAATGTTATTTAGAATATTTGTGATGGCAAACCTGTGAAAATGGGACTGTTGTACTAATCTCTGTCCCCAGAAGCCCAACTCAATCTTACACTAATAATTTATATTTCCTGAGTGCAGCATGTTTTTTTACATGGAATGGGAAAAAATCTCCCCTAAACTGAAAGGTGAACTTTGGCTTGGGTTTTACCACTTTATTGTTTTAAGTAAAAATCACTTACCAGTGTGACACCATGATGATGCTTTAGAGTAAATATCCGGGTCTGTGCTGTTTGAAAAAAAAAGGTTTTGGCCACTGGATTAGACAATGATCTCATGTGTATTGGCAACAGCAGAAGTATATGTCTAAAGGCCTGTTCACACAGTGGGGTGACCTGCGTTGTATAGTGCCCCATCAATGCAGATCACCACAGGGACACATAAAAAACAATTGTTTTCTATGTGTCCCATCCCACCACAATGCGGGTGTGATGGGTGGTGCACTGTAATAAAATTGAAACATGTTGCATTTAATTGCATATGCACTGGGTGATACTGCAGGTTGCTGCATAGCAGCACAGTGGACCGTGCTGTGCAGGGACCTGAAAAGAGTGTATACATTGTACACTTCACATAAAGTTAAAAAAAGGAAAAAATATAAACAGTGACAGCTACAGCGGTGTGTGATACAATGCACTTGCCTGTCCCAGAACACAGGACTTTTTGAGCAGAGTGTTGAAGCAGGTTAGAGAAATATGTCTAATCAGGGCTGGATTTATTCTCTTGGCTCCTTAGGCATTTTCAATCAACTTTTGTGGCGCTGAGTTGTGCCAAAAGGGCCATCCATGGCTCCAGTTTTGGTGAATTCCTTTTGTATGGCAGGCTTTAGGATCATGGTGCTGGAATGATCATAATTACATTGGGAGTGCATATTAATACATTGGGGTTGATCCACTAAAGAAGTAGGAACCATTCGCCTAGCTTAAGAAATAAGGTAAAACTGCGCTCACTTTGCATGCCCAATCATCTGTGAGGGAATTTAAAAAACACAAGAAGTTTGCTTGCTTATAATTTGATGAATGAAGGGAACACCACTTTGCTTTATTCACTAAGCTCAGCGTACATTCACTTTGCTTAGTGAACAGTCCCTACCCATTTAGTAAATCAACCTCCACATGTTGACTGCCCCATGTTCTTAGTAGTGCATCTCCATTAGGTGTGTTTGAGACTCTTTGGCTTGTAAAAATGTAGGCTCGGGAATAAGAAGTCTCAGAACAGCAGGTTACCGGTAAACAAACAATGCCAGGATGAAATACAAAGGGGGTTGGCAGGTCTGCTGAATCTGCTGAAAGTATGTGTTTAAATACTTAAACTTTCTGTTTGACTAAAATGTACTTTGATAACAGTATTAACAGACTTGAGTTAAAGACTTTGTAAAGTAGATGCTAACATTATTTTTATGGGTTATGTTATGGGTGGATTGGTGAACTAGCGACTCAGCCGCTATGTTGAAGCATCTATTCTAAACATAGGATGGTTTGAAGCCTACTTTTTATAATAAAAAAAACAAAACAGTACTGCTCTCAGTAAGTGCATATGTCCTGTCCTGTATACATATATATTAAATAATACATACAGCTGTAATTAAGAAGTATTTTATTAGCAGAATCACAAGGAAAGGAAAAATAGACAGAAAAACTATTGCAACTCCACATCTAAAAACTTCTAAGCCACAATTTATAAGATTTTTGTCTTGAAAAACAACCCCACACCATAATCCCCCATCAATCAAACTTTACACTTCTCACAATGCAGTCAGGCAAGTAGCGTTCTCCTGGCAACCGCCAAACCCAGACACGTCCATCGGATTGCCAGACAGAGAAGCGTGATTCGTCACTCCAGAGAACACGTCTCCACTTCTCTAGAATCCAGTGATGGCTTGGTTTACACCACTGCATCCGACACTTTTGCATTGCACTTGGTGATGTAAGGCTTGGATGTAGCTGCTCTGCCATGGAAAACCATTCCATGGAGCTCTCTACGCACTGTTGTTGTGCCAATCTGAATGCCACACGAAGTTTGGAGGTCTGTAGCTATTGACTCTGCAGACAGTTGGCGACTTCTGCGCACTGTGCGCTTCAGCATGTTCTGACCACGCTCTGTCATTTTATGTGGCCTATCACTTTGTGGCTGAGTTGCTGTTGTTCCCAGTTGCTTCCACTTTGTTATAATACCATTAACAGTTGCCCGTGGAATATTTAGTAGCAAGGAAATTTCAAGGAACACATGAATCCAATGATTTGGAGGAGTGTCCCAATACTTTTGGTAATATAGTGTATGTGCATTGGTTACAGCTCCCTTGTGTGCCCTGTAGAGGTGCCTGGTCCGGAGTGACCGCTTAGAATGTAGATGTCACCAGCACACCAGCACGACAGGAACTCATAAGTCAGTGTAAATCCATTTATTGATAGATGTCACTCAGAATATCAAGCGATTTTGGGCCGCACAGGGTCCCCTTCATCAGGCTCAGAGTAGACATGAAGGAGACTCATGTCTACTCTGAGCCTGATGAAGGGGACCATGTGGGGCCCGCAAGAGCTTGATATTCTGAGTGACACCTATCAATAAATGGATTTGTACTGACATGAGTTTCTGTTGTGCTGGTGACATCTACATTCAAAGTTGTTCTCTGTGTGGAGCCATCCGCTGTCATTTCAAGCACCCATTTACTTTTTTGGGGCACTTCCGGTATGGAGTGCTACAGGATTTATGACTTTTGGTCCGGAGTGATGTCACATTCTGGCTCCCAACACCTCTACAGGGTGTGCAAGGGAGCTGTACAAACAATGCACATAAGGATGGAGCTCCGTCACAGTACAGCAGGCCACACTGGACCCCAGCTCGAGGATCCACTCCAGTTCTCGTAATGTAGGGAGACTGGGTGGATCTTAAGAAAAAATTGACAACATTTTTGGAGTGTGTATGTAAGAATGTCTGAGAGTGTGTGAGATTGTGTCTGTGGTTGTGTGTGTCAGTGTTTTTGAGGGCCTGATCACACTAGTCACACTGTCCTGTGCAATTAACATACTGTACCACGCAATGGCACCTACCATGCAATATGGTGTGCACCTCCCACTCATAGTTCGATCGCCCACACCGGAACGCGTGGTATGGCAATGCTGTGCGTTCCAGTGCGGTGCGACTTGCGTCGCAACTTAATGAACAAGGACAAATGTGGACCCTGAGGTTAAAAAGGTTGAGAACCACTGCTTTATAGAGAACCTGCTATTTTTTTATTTTAAAACCTAAATTTGTATTTGTTATGTTTGTTCTTTTGACCACCCTACTCTAAAGAAGCTAAAAGGCATAGTTCAACTTTTGCAAAAATTTAATAAATGCACCCAAAATAATAATATAAAACAGTGCATTTATTAAATATTTGCATTAAAGGAGAACTATGGGGTCAGTGTTTTTACTCCTTAGGGTAACGGGAGGACACAAACTAGCATCCTCCCATTACCCTAAGCTGTAGCTCGCGGTATACTGAGACGCCGCAGCCGGAGTGGATCCCGACTTAGACGTGGGGATCCGCCCAGCTGCGTGAGTGACAGCTGGCTCTGCCTATCTAGAGGCAGAGCCAGCTGTACCCGCCCCCTCCCCCGTCCGTTCCGCCAGTCAGCGCTAGCAGATCGGAGCGGGGAGAGGGGAATCCAGCCCCTTCCCCTGTCACGGCAGAGAGCCGTGACAGGATCGAGAGGTGAGCGAACCCGGTATGTGTTCGCTCACCTCCCGATCTACTGAGCCGACCTGTGACAGTCTCATTGTCACAGGTTGGCTAGAACTATGAGGTGAGTGAAAAGCACTCACCTCATAGTTCTCCAGCCTGCAGTGCATTGTAGCTGCAATCAGTGCATCACGGGTGAAATACCCAGGCGCCTGTAGACTCTTCTCTCTCTTCACTGTGCGGTGTTACAGACCTTCTGTTATGGGGCTGGAGAAGGTTGTCAATGGACTACAAGTGTGGTGACGCACTTATACTTCATTGATATCTAAGAGTCCCTCTGCTGTAGTGGCAGATTGGACCTGTAAAAATTGTGATTCTCTGGAAATGATCTGATTTGTTCTTTCCAACCAGTATTATTCCTGAATAGACTCATTCACCTCTAAAAATAATAATGATAATGAAAAAAAGACTTGTTAGATTAGTTCCTGCTTTTAATTGCAAATTCTTACAAGAGAATCTCCAGACAATCCCACTGAAACGGTGGGGGTGGCAGGCGCACATAATTATGGAAATTAGCCATCAATACATATAAAAAATTCATCTTGTATGTTCTGGCTGAGTGACAGGTAAGGGGTGGGGGAGTACAATATACCCTGATTATATTGCTGTAGATGCATTTTTTAGTTTCAGTTGATAGTATTCTTGCATGAAATCTTTAGCAGCTAAAAGAAAAAAAAAGGATTAAAATTACATGTGAAGTACGGACTACGTTTAAAGGCTGTTTCCACCTTTTTATACCATGTTTAATGTTACACCCATATATAGGGTGTATAATGGAGCATGGTGCCATCTACCCGCACAGCTACCTCATTCACTCACAGATCCATTCATAGGATCTGCAAATGGAAAAATGTAAAGCCCCATCAGCCCCTATGGCAGAGAGACTCATAGGGGTCTATTCACTAAGCTGCTGTAGGCAGCCGAGTGAATGACCGACTTAAAGCGAAATGAGCCGAACGCTGTTCTGCTATTCACTTCAGGCTGGTACGGCTGATTTCAGCAGTATATCGGCTGAAATCAGCCGTACATCAGGTGGCTTCGGGTCGGCCGAACATGCTCAGCATGTTCGGCCGACCCGAAGTGCAGTGGGAGTTCGATGAACAGATGAACAGCCTCTGCAATTGATCACTCGGGGAAGAAATTATTCCTCCTTCCTTGTGCAGACTGGTGACATCATTCTATCAGGTTGCTTCTCTCAGGCCCAGACACAGTCAGTTGACTGAAGCTCATGAACTATGAACTTTGTAGTTATAGTTTCTTACTGTTGTTGGTTTATTATTATTATACCATTGCTATATAGTGTGGCAGGTTATTGTTTATCTTCTTTCACTACAGATGATATCATAATTCCGGGAAAGACTGTCTGTAGCTTATTTTTTATGTCTGGTCTTAATAGCTATCATATTTTCCTTGTTCTTATTCATTGTATATTTTTTTTCAGGTGGATTTCTCAGTCATTATGTCTCAGGCTGGCACAACGCTAAACAACCTCATGAGCCATGCACAGGAACTAGTGGCCAAGCTACGATCGCTGCAGTTCGATCTGAGAGAGTTTGTGTGTCTAAAATTCTTGGTGCTCTTCAGTCTTGGTAGGTCTTAAACATATTCTGTACTCTCTGTGTATGTTCATATGTAGATATTATACCATATTACCTTATGGTCAGTTCAAAAAGTGACAACTCAGTTTAAATATATCTGTAAAAAAATAAGTCAAGGCAACTTGTTGTTGCAAAATTCTCTTGGATGGTGATTTTATAACACAATAAATTGTGTTATAAAATGTAGCTCTTAAAATATTTACAAACATTTTGGATAAACTGGTTGTAGCTAATTTACTAGATATTGGGAAGCCAAAGGGCTACACATGAAAACCAGCATACAGTATGCAATGCTACAGAAGACTGTCAGAATCTGCAGACATGTTGCAGAAGATGGTCAAAAACAGGCGGTTGATCCGTATTATTGCCGCCCCCGATCACCTACCTACAAATGGACATGACGGCCACTCAGGGCTCTATACATCACTGTGGCTGCAATGTTTTACTTTGCAGTGAGCCAAATTTAAGCAGTGCCAATTGCCAACTGCACCCACACACAATTGTGGCATGGTATTTCATGTAAAATCCTCCTTAGGATTAAATAACAGGCAATAAGCAGGAGGTGACAGTATTGCCTCCTGAACACCTGCAAACTGCTGCTCAACCGCCCCTGGGAAGCAATCCTGTCCACCACCTGTGTGAACAAGGTCTCAGTAAGACATTTTTAAAACATAAGTAATAAAATCTGTATTTATTGCAATGTCAGCAATGTGAAGTAAGAAGTGAAGTGATACAGACAATACTTCAATGATACGTTTTCCATTGACAAATGGCTACCTCACTTTTGATTGACTGCATAATGTTTGTGCATCGATAAACTATGAACACTAAACCCATAAGGGATATTATTTAGAAAGAAAAAAATAAGCATTCAGCAATGCCAACTATTTCGTCTTGTGTCTTTGTTAAAGTGCTCCTTATAATATTTTGCTTAAAACTATGAATAAGTTATCATGTCTATTCATTCTTGGGGGAAAAGTTTTGCTGTGTCACTAGACAGAAAGGAGTCCCTCTCTAAGACCAATGATGGATTGAAACCTAAACACTTTATCAATGAACAAATAATTACCAGGGCAATATTGATCTGTCAGTCTTTAGGAGCCAGTCCTGGTTCTAAATGATAACTTGTTATTCTAAAACTAGTGTGGCCAGCCAGTTATCTAATACCTACAGCCTGCTGCTGTCTCTTGGAGACTTTCGCTTTGTGCACTTTTAGAGGTCCTAATATATAAAATATGGCAGACGTCATGCGTTTGTTAAAAGACATAACATCACTGCACAATCCTCCATACCAGTTAATTGGATTCAATTGGATTTTCATCTTGTAGTTTTCTCTTGACAAAAAGATAATTAGGCTTACAGTGTCTTGTTTATCAGAGTGCCACAATTGTCTGGAATGATAAAATGGAGGAAAGTGACGGCAGAAATGCTATGTAGAAAAATTTCAGTAAGTGCTGCTGGTATCTGGAATACACCTAACCCAATTCAGTTATAATTTTGGAAATATAACATCATTCCTCTGTAAAACAATTGACATTTTTACAATTTTTGAAAGCCAGGTGCATTTTTAGACATTTTTCCTATATATGGCTTCTCCTTCAAGACAGCTTTATATACCTGCTGTGGTCTTACAGAAGCTTTGCTGTAAAACGACAACATGCTGTGTAGTGTGTGAGACCATTAGGCTTGAATTAACAAGCTTTAATTCTGTATAAATGGAGGATAAACTGTGTTTATTTTCCCGTTTATACCCGATTAGCCCTAATTCTGGCAAGATCCGGAAAAACAAACAGATCAGTTCCCCGTAGACACACATGGGCTCCAGCAGTTCCAGTTTTCTCCATCGCACGATAGTGGAAAACACTGTACGGACATGGATGTCAGAGCGGTGACATCCGCTCTGTACTGCTATGATCAAGAGAGGATCTGTTGACGGGTCTTCTCCTAACACGCTCGTCTGAATGGGGCCTAAGATGGTATGAAAGAAACAAAACAAACCATTTAACTACTAGAACCCATTTTAAAAATGTTATTGTTTTGCTGGCCTAAGTAAGAACCTAGGTAGTAGCATGTTCGGCTGATCCGAAGCCACACGAAGCAAGCCGATGTACGGCTGATTTCAGCCGATGTACGGCTGAAATCAGCCGTACCAGCCTGAAGTGAATAGCCGAACAGTGTTCGGCTCACTTCACTTCTGATCGGTCATTCACTCGGCTGCCCTCGGCAGCTTTGTGAATAGACCCCAAAGACTTCTGCCAGCAGGGACTATGAGGGTCACACAATAAATGACAAAGGGAGACATGCGGCCTTCAGACCACAGTTTGGGCACCATCATTTTAAAGGTTAGGTTAGGAGATATGTAATATTAAAAGCTAGATGTTAAGGGTTCATTTTAATGGTTAGTTTAAGGGTTCAAGTTTCATTGTTAGGGGGTATATTAATGGTTATCCATTAATGCTAGGGGGTAAGTTAAATGTTATTTTTAGGGAAGAAGGAGGGTTACCTGGGTGATTACAAGTGTTAGGTGATAGGTAAGGGGGCCATAAGTAATAACATCCATGTGATGGGTCAGTCGTGAGGTATTGGAGCTGGGTGGCCCAGGCACAGCGTTTACGAACACAGTAGCCAATAACATTGTAGAGCACCCTGGGTTATAAAGGGGATCAAAGACAGCATGTAGCCTGCTCCAGATATCCACTATTTATGGTAAGCCATGGTTTCCCAACACAGATTTGCTTTAGTTCTCGTTCATACCTATGCTATGCTGCAGGGTGCACTTGTACTTGTACTGCATACCACATCTACATCACACTGAAAGAAGTGCAATCACCTTTTTTTATTATTTTTGATGGTTAGGTACGTTGGGGTGCCATTAAGAAACAATGGCACTGCATTGCACCTAACATTGCAATATGTTAGGTCACATAATAGGTTAGGACCCCTAACATTGTGGGGTCACATGCAGCATTGCACGGGCTCCCGCATTGCATAGATGTGTGGATGGAGCCTCAAGCTCATAGATGATGAGGTTGCTTTGATATTCTTAAAAACAAAGATATAATATAATTCCTTAAAATAATAATATAAAAATATTTCTAATGATGAAGAAACAGGAGCTGAAAAGGTTAAAACCTTTGCTGTCTGAGTTGCATCTTTATTAAACTGAATGTAGTAAGTATTTTTTCATTTTGTGGCTAAAGCATCTCATTGATCATAAGTCACTGAGAGGTTTTATGTCCAATCAATAGTTATTTGTTTAGTAGGATGAAAAAATAATGTAAAATATATGGAGAGTGCTGAGTATTTTTAAATAGCTTAATAAAATATTTTGATTGCAATCTCATTTGTTTAACCTTTAGTGGTGGGGAGAGCATTGCAGTGCTGAAATGCAATACGAAGTTTGAACAATGTGTGCAATTATAATCATGCTTCATTGGCATGATTTGAAAAAAATGTGGTAAAAGCAAACCGATCAAAATGAAGGACTGGAATAAACAAACTATAATATTCAAGTACATAAGGAAAAAATGGCCATTGGCATGGCTGACCTTTTGAAAATGCTAGTTGCCTGGCTGTATCTGGCTTCATTACTTTTAATGCATACATCCAAGAGAAGCATGCAGCAAATGGGTGCCAGAGAAAGGTCAAAACCCTTTTATGTCTCTACCCGTTTAAGGTCAGTGATTCAAAGCTTTTTTTAAATGGCACCGTTAATCTGCAGCTCCTGCAGTTCCCTGCCATCATATAGGCTAGAACTGCCAGCTGTCAGTGACAGCCGGCATCCAGCAGTAAGCAGAGGAGCTGAAATGATCAGCTCCTGGACTTCAGGTCTTGCTGCACAGCACTCTATAGTAGAGTTTGTAGCAGATCACTGTAAACACAATGTGTCAACAGTCAAAGTTATGTGATATCATGAGTGCCATCATGGCACTTCCTCTGAGTGCAGAGGCCAGGACAAAACTGTTTCAGCTTTTTGCAGCATCTATGTGCAGCAATGCTGCAGTAGTTCTACCGCAGGGGTGCCCATTAGGTAGATCGTGATCTACCAGTAGCTCTCAAATCTGATGCTGGTAGATCACAAAGGGTGTGAATGGTGGCCCCTTTATTCCATTTTGGTATATTTATTTAGCTGTGCACACATGATTACCTATTAGAGTCTGCTGAGCCAAGCTCCCTGACACCTTTCTGGTGGATAATGGTGGTTGAAGTGCTATGTATTACATCAAAGAATATTAGTTTACACAGCCTGTTGCACTACACTGTTTGCAAAATACAGCAAGGTGAGCCAGGAGAGAGAGCGAGGAGAGACAGACAGGAGAGAGAGCAAGGAGAGACAGCCAGGAAAGAGAGAGAGGAGAGACAGCCAGGGGAGAGAGCAAGGAGAGACAGCCAAGAAAGCGAAGAGAGACAGCCAAGAGAGAAAACGAGGAATGACAGCCATGAGAGAGAGTGAGCGAGCAAAGACAGCCAGGATAGAGAGGAAGGACAGGCAGGAGGATGAGCAAGGAGAGACAGCCAGGAGAAAGAGCAAGGAAAAACAGCCAGGAGAGAGAGCGAGGGAGGTTTTTTTTCATTGGTAGATATCATGTAGCCGACATTTGAAAAGTACATCTTAACACAAAAATTGTGGGCACCCCTGTTCTACAGAATAAGCATCATTTTCTAGCTTAAATCTTAACTTGATGACACAAATGATTCTTATCAGTTTGGCAGCATACACGATAATGAAAAAGGTCTTTGAAAAACATCCCTTGGAAGTATTGGAAGTCCATTACCTCATATGACCTTGTGATTACCTCGTGGCCTGAATAGCATAATCATTGCTTGCATTAGTCGCATCACTCTTTCATTGGACCAAATATGGCTTCCCATGGACAAAAGCAGTGATTTTATGGTTCCATCTTAGCCATCTATTGCAGATAAAATAATGGTGGGTCATACTGTATATGCTGTTTGGCAAATCATGTTTGTTTGTTTTTACCCATACAAAT